CACTAATCAGGATAAAAACATCCAAAATGATTTTTGGTCTTTTTCTAGAACAATTCAATCAAAGTGTCGCATTACTTTTCGAACAACCTAATATTTTGAAAGAAAGTATGATGCGTGTTGCATTTCTACAAAAGACTGATCGCCTGAAGGAGTTATCCTTAATCCTTTCTAACTAATCTTCTTATCTCTCTAATTTCGGTTTGATTCTGAGCCAAGTTTGACCCCGGAGCTAGAACTGGTAAGAACATTGTTTTCGGGTTAGTTGCTTTTGTGGAAACGCGTGACATCCGTTCGACACGAAAACGCTTGTTGTCCACTTCAGGGTGTTTGCTTCGAAACAGCTCTGGTGCTAACGCTTGTAGCGCCTGCACCAGGCTTTCTCGCGTGTCATATCCATGCCCATAGGGGTAAGGATGAAACTAACTATTGGTCTTTCGTGGTAGTTTTTCTACCCATGTCTACTTTTTCTATTATGAGACCGAGCACAGGGACAAAATTCTGAATACTACCTTATGGCCCAAACTTTTATAGAAAGCTAAGCACAATTCGGTAGGGGGGGGGGCATTCTGCACTCTCATTAGATCCCTTCAGCGTGTCAAGTCATTAAGTGAGACCTGTGAAATCTTGCAAAGACGATGTTGTATTGTTTGTTAGCTCTTGTAAAGAATACCTGCCAACTTTTGTAAAGCAGTTAACACGTCTATAGGAGGTAGTGAAAGTTCAAAATTCCCCCGAAGCCGCATCTAATTTGAATTCCGAAGAGTGGCTAGAAAGAGATAGGTAGTATTTTTTTCCTTTGTTTGCATGTGAAGTAAAGTATTTGAAGGATTTTTGACTTTTCAGAATATTGTTTTTTTAGAAACATCTGCCCTCGACAGTACAAACGTAGAAGCGGCGTTTACGAACATTCTAACGGAAATCTACAAGAGTGTATCGAACAAGCACGTTGGATCAGATCGTATGGTGCCGCTACCTTCGTCTGGTGTCGACATCACGTCATCAACCAACGAAAGTCAAAAGAAACAATGCTGTTCATCGTGATCAATGCAAATCTCTCTCCCCGTGGCCTTTAGGCTCTGTGTTGAACTGAACCCGCGCGCAACACACTACAATCGCTTTTATGTTTGCCTCATTTCCTCGCTGTCTTAAACCATTATTGAACAACCTATTTTTGTTTTCGTAATTCAATTTACACAGGGCCCATTGTTTGGTGTTCGAGTGGACGGGAACCAGCAGTTCGTGCATATTATTGTAGTTTTCTTTCTTTCGTATTGACTTTACTTTCAATTGCTTCTGTGTTCTTTAAGGCGAATCGCTTTTTTTGCGAACTGCTTTGTTTCTTCTCATCTTCGGTGTGTGGTTCTCAGTCATTGTATAATCGGCTACTGACCTTCAGCATCGATGATCACCATGTGTGCTCAGAGTGAATGAGCAAGCCATCGCCATGGCACTTCGTACATTTCCATTCTTTTAAGCTGTTTCAACGCAAATTTGATTTTTTTTCTGTGTTTAGTAATCTTAAGGGACGTACATGTGATAAATTGTGCTCATTGGTGTCAGCCAGCAGTCGAATCGTACGTCTCTGATTTATTTATTACACGTAATGGAATGCGCCGTTTGATAATTAATGATAAATATTATTCTGGAAATTGTGCCGATGTGGCTCGGATGATTTTCAGGCCTGAAAATGGGATAATCTTCGTGCTCGCTGCTGCCTGGGCCTTCAGGCGTTCTGGATAAAGCGCCGTAGCCGAGGGCATGGTAATAAGTGCTGATTTCTTGCCGCATATTCCTTTAACCACCAGTGAGCTTTGAGGCGGGGTTCCTACGACACGTCAGTGTGTGGCCATTTCGAACGTGCGCATATCTTGCGATTAGGAAAGTATGGGTATCGATCTGGCGTATGTATGTTGGCGCAAATTATGAACGCAACCCAATAGTGAGAACGTGACGCACTGCACGTACTCCTCCTACGACATTATGGAAGTGCACGGCCAGCTATTCTCACGCAGGGTACAGCATCATTTTGTGAAACGCATGGGGGGAGGGGGTCGTATTTGATCGTTGTTGGGAGAGGGGGAGTGTGTGC